GGGAGGGAGGATGGGAGGGAGGATGGGAGGGAGGATGGGAGGGAGGATGGGAGGGAGGGAGGGCCGCTGTGGTGTGCGCGCGCCCAAGTCAGAGAGGGCGATGGAGAGCATGTTCTTCATCTGCGGAGGGGCAGAGGGGAGGGGAGGCGCTGAGCAGCTGAGGGCCGGGTCGAGGGGCGAATGGCGAGGGGCGATGCCGAGGGACAGGGTGAGGGGCGAGGCGCGAGGCGCGAGCGAGGTGGAGTGAGCGAGAGCGCTCTTCCGGACCGACAGACGTGTCTCGCTGCGTGTCTCGCCTGCGCGCGGAAGAAGCGGATGGCGCGCGGCTTGACAGCAGAAGCGTCGATGAGCGCCTGCACCCGCTTGCGCAGCTCGCGCGAGTTGACGCAGTTGGACGGCACCGCCTCGGCGTGGTAAAAGCTGCCGGCCGAGTCCGTCACGAGCAGCTCCCACAGCTTCTTGCCGTCTGCGCCCTGCACCGGGCGCGAGTAGAAGTCGAGCTGCCACTCCCCCGACGCTGGGCCCCGCGCCGGCGGCAGCGACGGCGCCAGCGCCACCACGCTGCTCCCGGCCGGCTCTGCCGCTGCAGCACCGCCGCTGCCCGGCTCCGCGCCAATAGGCGGCTGCTGCAGCACCGGTGCGCCAGCGCGTCTGCTGCGCTGCGGCGCCGGCGCAGGCCACGCCCCCGCCTGCAATGCCCTCGCCTGAAGCGCGCCCGCCAAGAGCAACAGCGTGGCCAGCCCTCGCCTGGACGCGAGCTGCATCTTCAGCGGAAAATGTCGCATGAAGAAAGAAATCGCCGGTTTTCTCTCTCTTTTTCTCTCTCTCTCTCTCTCTCTCTCTCTCTCTCTCTCTCTCTCTCTCTCTCTCCCTGCCGCGCGCAACCTTCGTCACAATGCCAACCGCGCGCGGCCGTCGACCAGCAAGCACACGCCTCGACTCGGACACAGTGTTCCGGGGGCAAGGGAGAGGGGCTGGCTCCTAGCCCGAGAGGAGAGCTTCCGAGACCCACTACAAGACCACGCACGCATCATCCCGCGGCCTGGCGGTCGGCGGGATTGCAACCAGTCTTCGCGTGCCGCCTGTCGTTCGCTCGGGCGCCTTGGGCGTCGCGGGGTGGCGAGCAGGGGACGCGGCTCTGAGCGCCCAGCGACGCGTGCCGGATGGAGTCCGGCCGCGGGTGACTAGGGAAGTTCGCTCAGGATGTGTGGCAGTCAGTTTGGCTGAGTGTCTTGTCTTGTGGTTCTGTGTGTCGCTCCTGTGTGACCGTCATCGCCCGTCCTGCGTCCACCCATACCGCGTTGGTGTCCCAGTCGTTGGTCGGACTGTGTTTCGCCTTCCCATCAATCAATCAATCTCCCTCTCTCTCTCCCTCTCTCTCCCTCTCTCTCCCCCCCCCCAACCGCGAGAGAGGGCGCTCGCTGCCTCTCACTTAGACAT